TCGTTTTTTATGTTAATTTATTACATATTGATTATTTCAAATGCTTTATTGATATGTCAGATTTTGGGGGTACAATTGTTTGAATTCTATCAAAAATGGGATTACAGTTTCGTACTGGTATCCGATGGATTACCATATAATATAGATTTCGAAAATAATAATAATTTCGACCCTGGGTCCGGGCGGAGCTTCGAGCTTTGTGCGTTGTGGTGCCGGTGCGCGTGACCTGTAACTGAGCGCGTGATGGCGCTTAAGGGTGGTGTTAGTGTCGGAACGATGTCGGGTTCTGCCAGATTTTTAAGTGCAGGGCGCATCCAGTGTGCAAGGCGTGGCGGCCATCTATGGGGGTTGGGGATGCCCCGCTGAATTTTGATTTTTGATATTGCTGAAAACTCAATTTCCTGCTCTGAGCATAAAAGCCTATATAGACTTTTTTTTTTTTTTTTTTAAATCAACATTGATGCGGCGGAGTATATATGTGCCGGGCGGCCACGCGAGCAGGGCAACGCCCACGCCAGCCACCGTGGGCTAGACGCTGCGAGTGTAAAAGTAACTCCACTTCGTTGCGATTTTCGTTTCTGAAGCAGAAAAAGGTATTAGCCAGAAATGATTGTAATTGTCGGGCAACAAACGAGTGCGAAAATATTTGGGAGTGCATATTGGGATCTTACAAATGTACACGGCTAGGCCGTGCTACACATTTTTGGCCGTGCAGTTTCAAAGCTGACCGTGCAAATCACGGCTGCACGGCTCGCTGGCTAATACGTTGGTTTGAAGCGGAACAGAGGATAGCGACTCTGCCATGCGCTGTATTGTTCGTACCGCATGGAGTCATCGTACCTTACGGTTTGTGTGTGTGTGTGTTCAGGGTGTGCCGCTGTACCGTCACATCGCCGACCTCGCTGGTAACAAGGAGGTCATCCTGCCCGTGCCGGCGTTCAACGTCATCAACGGTGGCAGCCACGCCGGAAACAAGCTCGCCATGCAGGAGTTCATGATCTTGCCGACCGGTACGTCGCACAGAGAAATTACTTCGTCCGGCGACAGCCAGCGGCGGTTTTACGAGATTACTATGCCTCGGCCTGTCTCGGGAACTCCCGTAAACGTGGTTGATGGGGTGAAATGGTGCGGTGATGCCCCAGGTTATGATAATGCAGAGAAAAAACGTTAATAACGCGGAATCCCCCTGCGTGGATCTCGTTTTTTTCGTCTACGTCAGTTATGTAATTGGAGATGCGTTCCTATCGGAAAATTTTCCGCCAAAAGCAAGTTGTGTAAGTACAGTGACTAAAGCGGACAAAGCCTTTTTAAGGTCGTATGTTGATTATTTAATGAGGTAGCAGCAGCTGCAGCAACAACAAAATCGGTCGAGGAGTGACGGTAACGGCATCGGCTGCGCAGCGATTGTATGATCATGCCTGTTGCTATGCAGCGCTGCGTGAAAATTCGATCGTTGTTTTAGAGTGAAATGCCACCGGCGGTTTTCGCGCGCCATCCGCAGGTTCTGCTAAATTCGTCGATCGCGAAGTTCAACAGAAATTCGATCTAAATTTGTTGCGACGGAAATGTGATCCGTGCAAAAATTTCCCCGCAGGTGCTGCCAGCTTTACCGAGGCGATGCGCATGGGATCCGAGATCTACCACCACCTGAAGAACGTCATCAAGGCCCGCTACGGCCTCGACGCCACCAGCGTCGGTGATGAGGGTGGTTTCGCTCCCAACATCCAGGACAACAAGGAAGGTGCGTGAGACGAGACTAGAAGCAGCAGCAGGGGACCGACTGTTGGTGATCCTTAACAGGGGTGGGGGGGGGGGTTCTGTTTGCAGTCCGTGGCTCTCCATGCGTTTCGAACTGTTTACGTGTTTAGTCCTTCGTTTTATCCGTTTATCCCGTTTTCATAGAGTGTGTAACGTATTGTATGACAATGACAGCGTCGTGTCTCACCTGGGCTTAAAGTACCCTAACCACCCATGCTCGGCATTGGCAGCTAAAAAATAACTGGTGGCTCAAGTCTTGGCTAATAAATTCAGAGGGAGCTCTGCTAGTAGTGGTCGCTGGTTGCAATGAGCGTACAATGACAATATATGTAGCTTACAGTGAAAAAACACGGGGGCTCGGGGCGATTTAGCCCCCGAAATGCCAAAAAGAGCCCCCGTAAATTTGCATAGAGTTCAATGCAAACCAAATTTTAGAGTGCTATTTTCATGCACGCGAGCTTGAAAAGTAGCCCCCGAAAAATAATTTTTCCTCCTGGTAGCTTACATGACAGCATTATGTGTGTCGGCGGCTCTGGGTGCCCTTACCCAGTGCTTGTTAAACTGGTGAATGATTCACCCGAGGGTGAATGAAATTATTTTGGGGTGTATGAACCTTACCCAAAACACAAGGAAATTTAGTTGCGGGTGAATGAAATTTTGTGATGAAGACTCGAGGATGAATGACACTGATATAGTTTAAGAAGCACTGCCCTAAACCCGTGCTCAATGTTTATCTTATATTACTTATATAGATGTACAGTGGAACCCCGATTTTACACTCCCCGATTTAACGCGCTGAGTTGTTGGACCCCATTTTTTGCTCTTATATAGCCACGTATATATAACACCGATTTAGTGCGACCCCGCTTTTTTCGCGATTACATTTTATGGACCCCAACCATCGCGTTATAACGGGGCTTCACTGTATTATGTATTATGTTTACCTTATGAAATAGTTTAAGAAGCACTGCCCTAACCCCGTGCTCTATGTTTATGTTATTAGGTATCGTGTATTATGTATTGTGGTTACCTATGTTTTGTCTTCGCCGCAGCTCTCGAGCTCCTGAAGCTGGCCATCGAGAAGGCCGGCTACACGGGAAAGATCGAGATCGGCATGGACGTCGCTGCCTCCGAGTTCTGCAAGGGCAAGAAGTACGATCTCGACTTCAAGAACCCCAAGTCTGACGAGAGCAAATGGGTGCGTGTCCGTTTCCCGTATCTTGTAGTCGTGTAGCTAGTTGTGAGAGAACAACCTTGTCGGCGAACCTGCCAGGGAAGTCACGTTGGTGGGCCCTACATTAAATTGCGTTGTCTCTGCTGAAGTCCCTTACCTAGCAGTAGTTCAATCCTACTACTCAAAAGAGTCGGAGAGGAGAGTTGGGAGAGAACAACAACCTAGTACTAGGCAAAGTGCTTTCATAAGCCACGTCCGTGCGCCCTACATTCGCAACTAACGCTCCTCGTCTGGAGTAGAGATCATCCTCGTAAGCAAAGTGATTCGGAAGCCATGTTTATGGGCCCGACATTCGTGACTAACGAGTCGTCTCTGTCTTGTTTGCGCAGCTTCCGGGAGACGAGCTGGCCAACATGTACCGCAGCTTCATCGCCGAGTACCCGATCGTGTCCATCGAGGACGCGTTCGACCAGGACGACTGGGCTTCGTGGTCCGCGCTGATGGCCACCGTCAAGATCCAGCTCGTCGGTGACGATCTCACCGTCACCAACCCCAAGCGGTGAGTCGCGAGCAGGGTAAAAAATACACGGGAGCGATGAGCGATTCGCTCTTCAAACCTCCGAAATCGCTCTCGTGAGGCTCAAAATAGCTCCCGTAAAATTTTTGACGAGAGCTATTTTTCCACAGACTTGAAAAAGAGCCCCCTGTCAAAAAAAAGTTATTTTTCCCCCAGGTCGCGAGCGTAGTTGTGAGTGGGTGGTGGTGGGTCAGGGGGTGGTGGTGGGTCTTCTTACAGGAGGAGGACAGAATCTGGTGGTGAATGGGGAGGCTCTTTGGGGGGAGGCAGGAGGCTATGATGGTGAGCAGAAAGCCTCTTTTAAGGGCATTAGGCGGGCAAGGCCTGTCATTGGGTATATTTATTTTATTATTTACATGTACCCATATATACATATATATATAATATACGCCCTGAGGCGCACGCACACGCACAGACGTTTGCTTTTGACACGTGTGGTGACATTTACCCTTGCCTCGCTCCTCTGCAGCATCCAGACGGCCATCGACAAGAAGGCTTGCAACTGCCTGCTGCTGAAGGTGAACCAGATTGGCTCCGTCACCGAGTCGATCCAGGCCTGCCAGCTGTCGAAGAAGAACGGCTGGGGAGTAATGGTGTCTCATCGCTCCGGCGAGACCGAGGATGCCTTCATCGCCGACCTCGTCGTCGGACTCCGGGCGGGACAGGTACGGTCGGTCGGTCGCTGTCGTACGCGTAGTGTATGGTGTGGGCCTGCACGAACGCCGGTTCGCTTTAATCTGTGGGGTAGGGTATTGTGTGGGGCAGGCACGAACGCCAGTTCGCTCTCGTCGTCGGACTCCGGGCGGGGTCGGTCGGTCGGTCGGCGGTGGTTCGCTGTCGTACGCGTGGTAGGGTGTGGTGTGGGCCTGCACGAACGCCGGTTCGTTCTAATCTGCAGGGTAGAGTATTGTGTTCTCTCTCTCTCTCCCTCCCTCCCTCCCTCTCCCTCTCTCTCTCTCTATATATATAACAAGATATATTGCTCTTTACATTATGAGTGAGGATCCGCTTAGTGGGTCTCATGTGGGCGTGGCTGAATAGTGAATGTGGGATGAGTGGAAATGTCAGCTCCGTTTGCACACGTTTCTAGTTGTATTAACATGCTGTAAGGTAAAACAAAGGATTTGTGTTGTCTGTGTGATTTTTGCATGCTTGGGTTGTGTGGGCTGTCTATCACAGAAGGTCGACAAATCATTGTTGTTATCCTTGCATTTTTTTCTTTTGGGGAGCATGTACACTTATCACGTAGTCAGTCAGATAGGTTGAAAGTCTTTGTGGTTCATTATGTATTGTTGAAGCTTGTAATAGCTGCAGTGTGTATCGAAATTAAGCGCGCATGCAATAAAATCCAATGCAGAACTGTATCAATTCCCGGAATCCTTTTCGGCATCCCTACAATTCCATTTCCATTGATTTCTTTTTCCAGCCACGCGTGAGCATTGGGTGTGAAACTCTATACACGTAACATTAATCGTATAATATTCGAATTATTTGTTAGCGCAACTACAAATGTTAGAGGTTAACCATTTTCCTTATGCAGTTCGTACGCCGTCCATGAACCTTAACATTCAGCCTGTTTTTCTTTTTACTATTTGTGCATCGCAGCTCTGGGCTCGAGCTAGCCAGCCTTGATACGCACACGGCTACTTTATATATATGCCGGTGTACTTTATATAGCAGTAGGCCAATTCTATATATAGCCCAACCAGGTTTCTAGAATCTTCTCTATATGCGAGAGGGAGATGTATAGAAACGAATAATATGTGATCAGTTGCACGTGCGTGTGTGTGTAGGACTTGTACAGCCTGCTGTAACCTTCAGCGATCAGCTGCACTCATGGGCTGGCTCTGCTTCGTGTGTAGCCCTCGTAGTCTCGCTACAGATATTAACCTGTTTTAGTGATAGCTTATTCCAGTCACTCTTTTATAAATGTAAATCACTTTCGAGAGAGAAAGTAACCTGTCTCTCTATCTTCGCCCCTCTCTCTTTCTCTCTTTCTTTCTTTCTCTCTCTCTCTCTCTCTCTCTCTCTCTGGTTCGCTGTCGTACGCGTGGTAGGGTGTGGTGTGGGCCTGCACGAACGCCGGTTCGTTCTAATCTGCGGGGTAGAGTATTGTGTGGGGCAGGCAGAAACGCACAGGCAGTATTCGTAGCACATTGCGGGTTTCCGTAGCATTCGTACGAGTGTTTTAAAGGAATTGCCCTGAATATTAAAGTTTGCGACTGCAGGGTAGATGAGTGCGTGGGCCGGCAGCATTCGTGGCGCATTGTTGGTACCCTTACCTTAGTAGCATAGCTCGCGGGTTTCCCTGGCATTCGTATGTATTAAAGGCATTGCTGTGAATAGTAGCATTTTACTGCCATTTCTCGCTCGCGTCGTCACCGTTTCCTCGTCATTCGCGCACGCTGACCGATTATTTTTTCTCGCAAACAGATCAAGACCGGTGCACCGTGCCGCTCGGAGCGTCTGGCCAAGTACAACCAGCTGCTGCGTATCGAGGAGGAGCTAGGAGCCAAAGCCCAGTACGCCGGAAAGAACTTCCGCAAGTCCGACTTATAAGTCGTCGGACGATCGAGACCTGACTGCCGACTTTGTGCGCGGGCGAGCGATCAATCAATCGGTCGCTCCTCTTCTTCTTCTTCGCATCATAAACTTAGCTGTTTTGTCGAGAGGCTGCACGAAATAAGATGTGACTTTTTCGCTAGCGGCGATTTTTTTTCTTCTTCGTGGTCATTAGATGGCTTCCTTCGCGCGGTATGTAGTTGTTTAGGTAAAGGTATGCAGGTGTCTGTCTGCTGGCATGCACTGTGTCGCTTTCAAAAATAAAAATCTTCACTTCAGAGCAGCTGACAAGAACAAACAGTTACACGATTCAGTAATCCTTAGCAATAATAGCCCACTAAAAAATACCACCATAAAAGTTTGCTAAGCGGTGCTATTTTAGTCATACACTACCGGTGTTTAAAAGATGCTTGCATTTAATTGTTGACACTTGTAGGTATAAAAGGGAACTATATTATTTCTGTTATTGTTACCTGTTATATTAGAGAAAGCACTTTTAAAGTGTGGTCAGGCCAACGACTATTTCCATAGTATGTGGAACCTCTAACGTGTCTGGTATAGTGCTTTCAAGTTACAACTATGTAGTGGTCTCGAGCCATCTCGTACAAAAGGAAACTTAAGTTTGTAGCGGTATGTGAAATAAATACAATTGTTGCTGTTGTACTCCAAAAGATGTGTTGGAAGTTTTATTTGTAGTGCGTGCGTCAATCCTTTAACTACATGCTTCGTTGTTGTGTAAGTGCTCCCAGGAAGTACTGCAGTTGAGTAACTGCATTGATCAATACTTCAGTTAATGTGGAAACATGGAATTAAACCAGCAATGCAGCAACAATGTGTGGCTTGCAAGGTCAGATGCACTGTGAAGGCATTTGCATTTGGTACAAGTGAAAAGAATATTCACTAGTTTGAAAAGGGGAATGAAGGGCTGTAGGTGGCAGAAGAGGAAGAAAGATGACCAAGAAGGGAAGGAAAGGGGTGCAGCGAATGATAGGAGGAAAGGAAAGGGGTGCAGCGAATGATAGGAGGAAAGGAAAGGGGTGCAGCGAATGATAGGAGGAAAGGAAGGGGGTGGAAGAAGCGAAAGCAGATGTTGATTGAGGAGAGCTTAGTCATGAACGTAGTTATTTAATAGTATTATACGATATAAGTCTCTATACACTCAATTTCGTTATGCCAGCTGTTGTGTATGAGCCTTCTTTTTTTAAGTGGTTCGTCGCGCCATCTATTGCTGGAAAATTCCTTATTCAATGGTCCCAAAATAAGATCATTTTGGAAAATATGCCCAAAGGAATGAGATTATTTACTTCTGATAGGTATAGAAAGGTAGATCATATAGTATATTATTTCTTTGGCTATACCGATATGCCTAGCCATCCCCGGTGCCTTGGCTTTAGACGCTATTTTAATTTTTATGTTTGATTAACAAGAAAAACAAGGTACCGGACGTGACGTCCTTCGACCCTACGACCCGGTAGTGATTTCCTAGCATGTGCGATTGTGCGTGTGTGTTGTTTACGTACGTGCAGATGAAATGCCTCTAGAAAATGCTGGTCCTTCAGGAATTGTTCGTGCAGTCCAAAAAGACGAGGATTACCTCAGCTATGTCAACGAATCAGTCAATTTCCTTGTTCAAATGCTTGCAGGTAAGATAACAAAATAACCTACAGACTGGCTCTACCTTTATACTGAGTAATCAGGAGATTGATACAATGATAGACTCTAGCCTCTAGGCAGCCTCTAGTAACTATAGTCCGAGCCGACGCAGACCCCACTAATGGGGATAAACCCGCTCCCTCAGATTAGCAAAGCGGAGTTATAACGTCTGCATTTGCGTACTATAGTTACTAGAGCTAGATTATATAGATAGACTCCTGCCGTCCTGGTGTAATCACAGGCCCCTGGAGGCTCAATACATTACTCAATACATGTGCCAATACTATGAGACATTGCCATACAAGTGCTACATACAAGAGGCCAATACAGCTTTAAAAAGCTTCGATCAAGGATCAAGGCTCAAGTTTCAAGAAGACTAAAAGAGCGAAGCGGCCTGTGGTAAAAGAGTGAAGCGCAGATTGCATATGCATGCGCAGATCTTTTATCACAGGCTGCTTCGCTCTTTTACTCTTCTTGAAACTTGAGCCTCCAAGGTCCTGTGGTGTAATTCTGGGAATGTTGCGGTAGCAGCTAATTTATGCTGAGAGGGTCTATGTCCCCCGGGGTACTGCCGGAACGTACCCTGGGTACGGTCCGGTATACCGGAACGTACCCTGGTACTATCTAATATATGCCGAACCGTACCTCGTCTACTCCACTAACGAGTCTAGGGAGTCGCCTACGCCTACTCCCTAACCCGAACCCTAACCCTAATCCTAACCCTAACCCTAACCATATCAAATAGTGACCAGGGTACGTTCCGGCAGTACCCTGGGGGACATAGACCCTATGAGCCTAATTTATGCATAACTGTGTAACTGTACGTGTTTCAGGACCACAGTCATGGTTGAGATGGAGGAAAGAAATAGAAGTTTTAGCAGGAGCTGGTTACTTCATATGCACTACTATATCAGGTAACTGTGAAACAACAGGATAATCAAGTGTGCAAGGCATATGTGTAATCAGGGTGCCAATGAATTAGTAGCTAGTTTATTACTGACTGTATATATCTGGATTAATTTAAGTACCCACTGCGTAGTGGTAATTTTGTATGATTTAATTACTTTGCCAATATGCTAATTAAGTAGAGATAGTTATCTGTTATTACTATACATGATGCACATTCACAGATGTTTCTTGTAATTTCTAGGATACCAAACACTTGGTGAAGAATATGTGAATATTCTTCAAGTGGACCCTTCTCGGATCGCTGTGCCATCCCTTACGGTATGTTAGGCGTACCAGTAAGAAATATTGCATAATCTCTTGCAAGCAGCTGGCTATATCAAGCGAGCACTGAAGTGTGACTTATACCATGAACATATCTGTAGATATTATACAATAAGTATGTGCATAAAAATATCTAGATATTTTCTTGGTTATATACTTAACAGGTAAAACTATGTGAATAGTAAATGTGTGTGAGGTTGACCGAATCACTGCTTTATTATAATTGACTATATGGCCAAACCAGTCTGTGGTCTGAGTGAGAACTCTACGTGCATCACCGCAGAGGCAACAATTTAGCCTAAGCAGGGGCTGGACACAAAGACAAATGTGACCCAGAGAAAATTGAGAATCGATCACCATCACCAATACACAACAATCTCCATGTCTGAAAATTATAGTCTCGGCGCATTTGATTGGATTCTATGAAGTGCATGTAACTGCTAAAGTTTAGATTCTTTTATGATCACTTTTCAGAGAAGAGTGATCATGGTGTTTTTACACGTTGCCACCCCCTACATTATACACAAGCTGCTTCTACGCTTGCAAAATATCCTGAAGCAACCCACGAACACGCTCGGGATCCCCGCAGAGACCAGGCGACTGTTACTCGGATACATTCCAATCATTCGGAGAGCAGTAGAGCTGTTGCAGCGATGGCATCTGGCGTGGTTCTACGTGCGGGGGATGTATTATCAACTCGCGAAGCGATTCACTGGTGTGACCTACGTAAGTCTTACAGGCAGCGATGCAGTGACTATAGGCTCTCTACGTGTGTACCCCTTCACTCTGTAACAACTCCTGTTACTGTGCAAAGCGCTACATGGGTATAGACTATTAAATGACAGAGTTGTTTGCTTTCTTTTAAAATGCAGCCAAAATTTCTCTCCTAGATCTAAAAACTCAGCTATCTTGGTCATGAGTGATGCAATTTAATCAGGAGTAAGATAATATAGGATATATTATCTTACTCCTGATTTAATCACATTCTCCTCGTAGTTTGTTTTCATCATTTCTTCTCGGAATCGCCATCCTTTGACGTTTCGCACCAAGTGCGAGAGGCTAACAATGAGAATTTTTGCCGCGGTTGCAGCTGAGCGTTCGGAGTGAGCTGTGGCGAGACAGTGCCAGACATAGTTACCGGATGCTGGGCATGCTGTCTCTCACACAGCTGCTGTCCACCCTCGCTTACTCCGCCTACAGCAACCGCAATAACGTCACCGAATTCTTCGCCGGAGATCTACAGGAAAACACGACGCCGGCCAAGAGGCAGGTTTGCCTAATGCGGCTTATAGGTCTAAACGACTTGCTGTCAGTTACAGTTAAACCTGTATTCGAGAGTCACTCAAGGGAAACCCCAAGTGCAATTTATAGACAGATACCCATTCAACAGAGCTGGTTTCACTCTAAAACGTTCGAGAAATGCTGAAGTCTTCTTTATATAACAGATGTTCATTATTTATAGGTATCTGCTACCACAGATTTGGCTATAGCTACTGATTCGGTGGTAAAATTGGCGACGATTTCAGCAGTTTTGTAATGTATAGTCGCATATTTCGTTACAGTTCATCAATTTTGTTAGATTCACAATTATAATTATTTGTTGTCTTTATATATTGGTGTTCATTCGATGGAGGTATCTGCTAATACAGGTTTGGCTATAGCTACTGACTAGGGCTGAGAGGGTCTATGTCCCCCAGGGTACTGCCGGAACGTAGTACCCTGGTACTATCTAATTATGCCGGATCGTACCTCGCCTACTCCACTAATGAGTAGGGAGTCGCCTACGCCTACTCCCTAACCATAACCCTAACCATATCAGATAGTTACCAGGGTACGTTCCGGTATACCAGACCGTACCCAGGGTACGTTCCGGCAGTAGTACCCTGGGGGACATAGACCCTATGAGCCTGACTAGGTCTTCAAGTTTGTCCCCGTTTCAGCAGTTTCGTAACGCAGAGTCGCACGTTTCGTTACAGTTCAGCCGCGTCGTTAGAGCCGCGGTCGAAGTGTTCGCTGTGCCTCGACGTGCGACGCGACACGACAGCGACAAGCTGTGGTCATCTGTTCTGCTGGAGGTGCATCTTTGAGTGGGCAGCAAACAAGGTAAGGTACTGTCAACGCTGCATATAAGGGTCACTCGGGGTAGCGTCCTTTATAGACAGGTGATCGTTCTATAGAGGTAGTCTTGCTGTGTAACAGTGACCTAGGGAAACCCCAATACAGTTAAACCTCGATTATCCGAACGAAACGGGCAGGGAGTATTTTGTTCGGATAACCGATAACTGGTTGTTCAGATAACTGATCCGATTGTATTACAATTAAATATTCACGGGACCTTGAGATCTTGTTCGGATAATCCGAAATTCGGATAATTGATATTTGGATAACCGAGATTTGACTGTAGTGTCATTTAGTGACAGGTATTCATTCCATATAGAGCAGGGGTAGAAATTAACTTTTGAACAAGGGAGTCCAACCCTACCCTCCCTACCCTCAAAAAAGAGGGAGTCCGCAGTCTGAGGTTCAAAATTAGACATTAACAATAACACATGTGCTTATTTTTAAGATTCATGCAGTTGCACATCTGCCAAATTTTCTTTGGAAATTAGCTGATAAAATACAGTAATTCCGCGAGGCCGTGCTCCGGAACGAACTAATTTTCAGGGAGTCACACGGACCCCTGCATATGTCAAATCAGCGAGTCCGACAGTAAATCAGGGAGTATTTGACTCCGGACTCCCGTTAATTTCGCACCCTGTAGAGTGATCAACACATAGAGGGTCCATTCTAAATACGTGTCCACTACAAGAAGTTTGATTATAGCAGGGGTTAATAATGACAAATTTGTCATTATTAACCACTGATTACAGTATAGAGGGCTGTTATATCATGAAATGGGCATCCAAGTTTATTGAAAGTTTATCTACTGTTATATCATGAAATGGGTAACCCAGTTTGTTGAAGGTTCATCTAAATATCTACTGATAAATGTTCCTCATTCTGAGCCATGCTCAATGTAGTGGTTCGATAATGTTTGATAAGATCAAATCTGGGTTGTTCAAGTTACAAGTATATGTTACTGTCTTGTTGCTTCCAGGCCGAGTGTCCACTTTGTCGAGAGAAATTCCACCAAAGTCGTCTGCTATACCTGCAGAACTACGGCTGAGAGGGTCTATTATGTCCCCCAGGGTACTGCCGGAACGTACCCTGGTAACTATCTGATATGCCGGACTGTACGTCGCCTACTCCACTAACGAGTCTAGGGAGTCGCCTACGCCTACTTCCTAACCCTAACTCTAACCCTAACCATATCAGCTAGATAGTTACCAGGGTACGTTCCGGCAGTACCCTGGGGGACATAGACCCTATGAGCAGAACTACGATGGTAGTCTATAGGTTACGGAGAGGACGGTCGTGATGGCCGACTTCTTACATGTACAACTGTGATAACAGCTGGATTTTTTAACTGCAAAGAAACCATTACGCTTGTGCCGATAGTGTAACGTCATGCACTTGGCAGAGTGCAGATGTTATGGTCGTGATCAAGAGCTTTATGGAAGCGTAGATGCTAGCTTCAAGCATGACAATTAATAGTCCTAGGTGCTAAGAACGTGTTAACAACAGGAGTAGTATAATTTCATAGAAAGAACTTTCATAAGTTGTGCTTACGTGGCAATTTGAAATGAAAACAAAATAGTTATGAATGGCCTAGAAATCAAGGGCATTATTTACAGCATAATATCAGCATTTTAATGCTTTTGCATCAGTGTTTAGCAAATTGTTTGATGTAGTACAAATTAAGCCACATCAACATTAAACGTGGAGTTAAATTATCAGATAAGATGAGGATAAATATCAGTATTTGAGAAATGATGTTGATTTTATCTTACACATCCTATATAACATGAGTCAGTATTTGATAAATGTTTATGTGATCAAGTAATTTGTAAATACAGATGTTTTTTAATGACAAACGTACCATATTTCTATTGTGTTTTAGTTAACCTTGAAGTACATCTACACCATGTGCTTAGATAGGCTATTACTTGCTGTTGCTTGAATTTTTACGCCAAATTTAACCCACATGTGCCTGATATGTCGTCTCCACTACCCCTCCGAAGCCCACATATATACATTCATAAAACACATATCAATACATATAATAAGGGTATAATTTAATAATCGGATGTATGCAGGTGTACACGTACACAGTTTCATACAAGCCTATACAGTTTCTAAATCTATGCAGTTTTGTCTGGACCAAATATATACGTGAAAATCAATACACTAAGCTCACGCATGTAACGGGATTGCCAGTCTTAGCTCCGAATGCAAACGGTGTTTCTACATGAAGAAACGAACATTTGAGTAGTAATTAACTAGTAAGTTAAATCGAATTAGGCCTCGCCTAAAATCGGCGAGTGACCTCTATCGACCTACAGCGAGCATCAGCCAGTAGCAAATTCAGACTGTCTTTCTAAACCAAGATTCGGTCGTGTTTTTTTAGTTGTAACTTAAATCGAATTTGGCCTCGCCTAAAATCGGCGAGTGACCCCTATCGACCTACAGCCCGAGCGGCAACCACGATCACTTCGACGACACCCTCGTTCGCTTGTTGTACGAGAAGTTCGCTCCGTACGACTTGAACGTCGGCGCCGACTTCTTCGGCTGTTCGACGTGGTGCTCCCATCCGTTCCTCTCGCAGAACGCCTCCGCATCTTCGGCCGACGCAAAGTCGAGCCTCACGTTCGACAGAGGGTCGGCCGTCGACGTCCAGCCCATCAGCGGGTTCTCCCAGCGCTCGCGGTTGTCGAGGTCGACGTGCCAGCGGTTCGACGCGAAGTTTCCCGACTGCATCGCATTGCGCGCCGGCACGTAGATGCGCGCGTGTCGCGTCTTGATGTGCTCTTCGGGAACCCCCGAGCACGAGCCGACGTCGGCAGGCCCCTCCTGTGATTTGTAAACGAGCATGCGTAAAAACATAAAATCGGTACGTGTCCTCGTTTCTAACTTTCTAGAGTCTAGAGTAGAGTTCTAGAGTTAAATATAGGATATTTTGCTAGAGCAGAATTAGAAGTTCCAAATCTTTCATGGTTTCTGTGTGAGTGGAAACACCAGTAGTAGGTTTATAGCTGTATGCAGCAAAGAATGGGCTTTACACTATCAGTATCACCAGCATGCAGCATAACTTGTTGTTATTGATGTGAGCCTGTGTGTGCGTGAGGCTGAGCGAGTGAGCGTCACACAAACCTGTGTAATATAGGCGGATTCCTTCTTCTTATTCATGACTGTTTGTATGTCCATTGGCTCAGCCCCTGACGG